AGATAAAAATTATACAGTAGGGATGTGGCGACTTAGTGAAGTAGTCAAGTTGTCACACCCTCAAGTAGCAGGACAAGAGTTTGAATCTCACTGGTAATGAAATTTAAATTATACAGAATGTGTTATGGCAGACTGTATGTAATCTGATAGATTAACGGATCTGTAAATTTGGTTATATCAGGAGTTATTGGGAAGCTGTGAAACTGTAGTTTAATACATGAGTTACATGAAACCCGAGTGAAACTGCTGTATAAATCTAGATATTAGGGTACACAAAAGCCTACTTGGTAAGTCCTGAGTAGAGAGGTAGTACAGATCTTTGATGGTACTATATAAAAGGCTATCTAAGGGATCCGGATACTGATTTTAGTAGTCTAAACAAGGTCTGGTATTTGGCAAAACACTATATCAACCAGGCCGCTGGACGAGTAACTGGAGGAAAAGAACCTAACTGTAGGGACTAGGGGCAGGTCACAGCCCTTCTGGGTTATCTGAATTGGAAGTTTAAGTTACTGACAGAACTTAAGTACTGGTAATAGTCTGTAAAGTGTGTGCTGGGGTTTGAGTAAACTTTGCAAAGGCAGAAGTAGATAATGATAGTAGCTTTGGCTCGCAAGTACTTGTCCTCAGACTCAGTGTAAGTTACCAAAATCTAGATTAGCCAGATTGTGGATATGAAAAGCTCTAGCTAACTACACCTCGAGGATAAATTAGTTCTAAGGGTATTGGGAAAGCATCTGAGACTTCTTATAACAGGTAATTGTAGCAGGAAAGTATCAGTAATACAAGCTAGGTCTGCATATAAATATACCAGGATTCTATAAACGAGCTCCTTATCTATAAACTTGAATAAAAACCATAGTCCCAAAGAGGCTAGTTATAAAACTTAAAAAAAAAAAAATTGTATAGTGTATATATAAATAAGAATCAAGATTAACTAGTCAAAAATCTTAAAATCGATCAAAAAGTGCTGAAAGCTAGTTTTCCTAGTCTATTTCCTATATACATATGCAGTATTCTCATAACTTGATGAGGCAGCAGAAAAAATTCAATCCTAAGAAGCTGCAATAAGCAGAAGAATTACCCATTTGTATTTTGTAATAAAGACCTTAAAAATGTTGAAAATCAAGTTTTTAATATTGATTATGAATCACACAGCAATAATTAAATCAAAGTTAATAATTAAATTTATTGTTATGGTTAGCAGAATGTACTATAGAAAAACAGTAATTAATCAAGTTTGCCATAATGGCAAAAATGTTATAACTTTATAGAAGTCATATAAGATTAGCTGATAGGACTGCTAAAGTAAGATAGCTATAAAAAGAAATAATAGAACTACATGCTTTTGCCTTGGAATAGGTTGAGTAGCATAAAAATTCTTTTTTTCAAGCATTAATGAACTTGTTTTTTTTAATTTTTTACACCAGACATGCATTAGTATTGTCATCTATATTTATCTTAGATCTTCCTATGCTATACTTAGTAGGGTCCTCTCTAAATTATATAATATCACTTTGCTTAATTAATTGTAGTTTTATAGTTTCTCATAATTAAACTTATCATTATTAGCTTGTCAATAACTATTTTATAGTTTTTATTTATAGTAATAATCAAGTTTTACTATAGGTTAGGGTTATTATAAGTTTTCTGTAGATTATAGTTATCATTAGTTTTACCATAGGTTAGAACTTTCTATAAGTCAAGCTTTACCTGATTCAAGTTTTGCCTTGAATCAAGTTTTGCTATAAGCATGTGTTCAAGTTTTATTGTAGATAAAAATTTATATAAACAAATTTATAGTCAAGCTTCACTATGTTCAAAAATTCTGCTAACAGATAAAATTTTTTTAAAGGTTTTTTATTCTAAACAATGTTAAAAAAAAGAGCAAAAATGGCTATTAGTAGCAGTTTAAAGTAGAAAATTTGTGAATAAAACAAAAATTTTCTAAGTGAAACTCATTTAAACATCACACAACATTTAATCAAAAAAGCTTAACATTAAATCTTGAATATTTAACCATTTTAAAGATTTTAAAAGAAAAGGATAAATAGTTAGAAATTGCTGATAATGAAGCCAATATAGCTGTTTTTTATTATAAAAAAGTCAAATATCCTTTATTAAATAAAGCTATACAGTTATAGGTTAAGCAGGTTGTAGGTGGTCAAATTTTTTTAATAGAAGCAATTATTAAAGAAAAGGCAGATTTTTTTGCCTGTGTATTAGGCTTACTAGATAATGCATTAAAATTTTCTAATAGTTGGGTTCATAAATTTAAGAAAAATAATTTGTAAAACTATTGATTATATGGAGAAGCAAATAGTACTCTATTAAAATTACTTCCAGAACAAAGAGCTAAGTTATATGAAATAATTGAAAATTATCCTTTGAATAATGTTTTTAATGTGGATGAAACAGAGCTGTTTTTCTGTATAGTACTGCATTAAACACTCATGTTACAACTACAATTTGGATGAAAAAAGTTTTTTTTTTAATTTGTTGGCAAAAACCTGTACAAATTCCAAACTTTCAAAAAATAAATATTTATAAAAATTAAAAGAATCCTTGTATATTATTTATTGCTATTTGCAAATTAATGTAACTTTTAATAAAATTTGTAGATTATTACATGCTCAATTGTCTGATTGCAATCGATTGCAGTGATTGTATGTGATTTCTCAGCTATCATCTAATCAAATTCGATGATTTTTTTTATTTGAAATTTGTAAATCTATAGAATTTAAATAAAAAAAATTCGTCAGATTTGATTAGATAGTTGTCAAAAAATCACATATAATCATATACAATTACTGCAATCAATTGCAATTGGACAATTGGACATGCAGCGATCTACAAATTTTATTAAAAATTACATCAATTTACAAACAGCGATAAATAAAAAATTGTTAATAAGTTTTAAAATATTTGTTTTTGGCTAGCATAAACTAATTTCACTGACAGCTATTTCCAGACAAATTTGATCTGATTTAGGATTAGAATTGACTTATTTTATAGTTGGTTAGAGTAAATTATCAACGAAATAGTGTTAGCAAAATCTACCAAAATCGGTTTGATCAGAGTTTGAAATTTGGATGTGAACAAACCAAACTATAATATATAGTTTAGAATATACACAAAATAAAAATATATTTATTTGGCTTATTATTAATTTAGAAAAAATGTGCTTGTCACTGGCGGTGACAAACCCCTGTATAACGTATAACTAAGTTGGAGAATGACGACATCGGAGAATCATTACATCGGCTGTAGTTAAGTGTTTTTTTATTTGTATTTCAGTATTTTGTTTTTTTTTGTTTTTTTTTCGCTTATTTTTTTATTTTTTTCTTTCGTTTCACTTTTTGTTTCTTTTTTTTTCGTTTCATTTTGTTTTTTTTTTTTGCTTCTTTTCTTTTGTTCTTTTTCGCTCTTTTTCTTTCGTGCTTTTTCTTTTGTTCTTTTTCGCTCTTTTTTTTTCATGCTTTTTCTTTTGTTTTTCTTTTTTTCTTTTTTTTCTTTCATGCTTTTTCTTTCGTTCGTGCTTTTTCTTTCATTCCTCTTTTTTTCTTTCTTTCGTTCTTCTTTTCTTTTGTTCTTTTCTTATTTTCATTCTTCTTTTCTTTTGTTCTTTTTCTTTTGTTCTTCTTCTTTTTCTTTCTTTCGTATTTTTTTTCGTTCTTTCTTCTTTTTTTTTATTTTGTTCCTCTTTTCTTTATTTTGTTCCTCTTTCTTTATTTTGTTCCTCTTCCTTTCCTTTCTTTCATGTTTTTTTTCATTCTTTCTTCTTTTCTTTATTTCGTTCCTCTTTTTTTATTCATTTCTCTTCTTTTCTTTTGTTCTTTTTCTTTTCTTCTTTTTTTAGTTTCGTTTCTTTATTAATTTTATTTTATTTTTTTTTTCTTTTTCATTTCTTTTATTTTTATTTCTTTCTTTATTAGTTTCAGTTTTTTTTTTTTTTTCTTTTTCGTTTCTTTTATTTTCGTTTCTTTTTTTCGCTTTTTTTTTTTCCTGATTACTAACTCCTTTTTTCTAGTTCTTTCTACAGTGTCATTACAGTCTCTACGGCGATTGTGTGGTATCTACGATGATTGTGGTATATCTACAATGATTGTGTGGTGTTTACGGTGATTGTGGTGTCTTTTTGGCTTGTGTGGTGTCTCTTCGGCTTGTGTGGTGTCTTTTCGGCTTGTGTGGTGTCTCTTCGGCTTGTGTGGTGTCTCTTCGGCTTGTGTGGTGTCTCTTCGGCTTGTTTGGTGTCTCTTCGGCTTGTGTGGTGTCTCTTCAGCTTGTGTGGTGTCTCTTCGGCTTGTTTGGTGTTTCTCTGGCTTGTTTGGTGTCTCTTCAGCTTGTTTGGTGTCTCTTCGGCTTGTGTGGTGTCTCTTCGGCTTGTTTGGTGTCTCTTCGGCTTGTGTGGTATCTCTACAGCAATTGTATGGTACCTACGATGATTGTGGTGTCTCTACGGTGATTGTGTGGTGTTTACGGCGATTGTGGTGTCTCTTCAGCTTGTGTGGTGTCTCTACGGCTTGTGTGGTGTCTCTATGGCTTGTGTAGTGTCTCAACGGTGATTATGATGTCTCTACGGCCTGTGTTGTGTCTCTACGGCGATTGTGTAGTGTCTCTACGGCGATTATGGTGTCTCTTTGGCGAATGTGTGGTGTCTTTATGATCTCTACGGTGGTTGTATGGTGTTTGTGGTGTCTTTACGATTGTTGTGTAGTGTTTTTATAGCAATTATATAGTGTCTTTAAAACGTTTATACCGGCTTTTTTTTTTTTTATTTATTTATTTATTTATTTATTATGTAATATGTACATATTATAAAAATTTTATTTTTGATTGGATCTGAAGGATCCGAACTAAAAAAAATTGTGATCGGATCTGAATTAAATTAAAATTTTGCTTATTAATTTGATTGGTTGCACGTGATTCGGGGGTGTCACTGGCAGTAACAAATAGATTTGCTCATTAATTTAAATTAGGATTATGTATATATTATGGTCATGCTGACCACCAATGTGACCAAAACTGAAAAGTTAAAACTATTAGTAATTAGATCATCTATTAAACCCAATACTTTAGTCCGCTTAAACTATGATGCCTTGTCTGTAACATATCGTTCAAATTTAAAGACTTGGATGCAAACCGATATCTTTTATAAATGGCTTTTAAAGCTTGATGAAAAGTTTTGTTTAGTAAACTGGCAAATTTTGTTGTTAATTGATGGTGCATCAAGTTTAATAAAGGTCAAGATACTTTAAAACTAAATGAAGAATTAAGTAGTGAAGAAGAATTAAGTAATAAAAAGTTAGAAAATAAAGAGTCAGAAGACAAAGAGCTAGAAGACAAAGAGCTAGAAAACAAAGAATAAGAAAATGAAGAAGAAATCTGTACAAGCTTATCTAAAACTCCACATACTTGACATGGCTATCTAAAGCTAAGTGCTAGTAGCATTAATAAGTAAAAAGGGCAAGATTCTCTTCATGGTCGTGGTCATGGATGCAAGCATAGAAGTGGTCGTAGAATGGTCATTAAAGTGATCACAGGCATGAAAGTGGTCATAGAAGTGGTCACAAGCATGGACATGAGCACAGATAGAACAGCAAAGACCATCACAGTACTGGTCATCCTTATACAATTCCAGATCCTTCTGATATTTGCTTAACAAATATCTGTATTGAAATTTTATCACCTAAAACTACTATGCACCTCTAGCTGCTAGACACAGAGATTATCAATAGCATTAAAGCAAAATATAAAAAAAAATATTTACAGCATATAATAAATTAGTTTAAAAGAGACAAAGAATTAAAAAAGTAAGAATATACCTGTTTGCCACTATGCACTGTTCTGTAATACAATTTTTTTACAAATGTAAAAATGAAAATCACATATATTACACATCGTGTACTTTAATTATCTATATTATTTGACTGTATATGGTAACAAACAGGTAATAAACCAAAATACTACTTCAAACTTGTCTTATGAAATTTATATAATCTTATAATAGATGTTCAATTTGCATAATTAAATGTATACAGATGCTAGAGTGTCCAGACATACAATTTCAGAGATTTTTCATTGAATAATGAAAAATTCCTAAAATTGTCTAAGTCAATGCATTCTAACAGAAGCTGGGTCTGTTACATATTACTAGTTATAGTATAAAAAGGAAATTTTAAAATGCATACACACCCTTTATGTTAGTGTTGTGAATTAAGTTGTTTCTAGTTAGTTTAGCTTACAATGCTGATTTCTAATTTTTAATCCAATTAATTTTCCTGTTTTTTTGTAAAATTAAAAAATTTTACTGATTTTTTTATTTATACAGAAATAAATTAAACATTAGAGATGCAATATATTATATTGCAAAATCATAGAATGAAGTTGAAGAATCAACCATCGTAAATTGCTAGAGAAAAACATGAATTCTTCTTGTGTTATTAAATACTAAAATTGACAATTCTACTTTTGCTGTTCAGAATTTAACAGATTTAGAAAATGATAATGTTGATAAATTAATTGTAGACTTAACTACAAATTCACAAAATCCAACAATTGAATGTCAGATAAATGAATTCAACTACTTAAATGATTCTTAATACTTACTGAAGATATGCTTAACAAAGAAGAAATTGTTAACATTGTGTTAAAAGAACAAATACAGTAGAACTCGATGAAGGTGATGCAAGTAATATCAACGAGGAACCATCTGAAATTCCTATTATAGAAGGCTAAAATAGATTAACAAAATTCATTAGTTTTGTTGAGCAACAAGAAAGTTGTGATTTTAATATGGAGGATCTTAAAGTTTTTAGAAAATACTTATCATTGATCAGAAGAAAATATATTGAATCACTAAAGCAAAAATCTATCACTGATTTTTTTTAACTATTTATGATCAATAGCAGATTTTTTTCTTTTTTTTCTTTTTTGTTATTGAAAAAAATCATATAGTTAAAGAATTTACTAAATTAAAAGATAAGATTCTTTATTGATCTTAATTTTAATTATCAGATTTATTTATAGTGCATTACTTTTATTTAAACTTTATAGAAATTTAAACCAATTATGTAAGCTTATTGAGTGAATTTTCTTTCTTATCTAAACATTAATGATATAAAATATTGTGCTTCCTGTTAATTGTCAATGGTATAAACTATTGTGACCTTTTATAAATTGTCACTAGTATAGAATTATTATACCAAATTATGAAACGAATTAGTATTCTAAAGTTTTTTATATTGTATAAGTTTTATGATAGATATTTTTTATATCAGTTAAATCAATTTTCTTATAGTTTTTAGTGCAGATTTCAGTCATTTTATATATATAAATTTAAATATTAGGATTATTTAGTAAAATAGATTGGCAATTTGCAAAATTATTTGTTTAGGTTTTACCATATGCTTTAAACTTATATAGGTGACTTGCAGGTGTTTTTAATAAATAGGTTGTGCAGAATTAAACTAACTACAATTTAATAGGTTTTCAATTAAATTCTTGATTTTTTTAACTTGTTCATTTAATACATTTACTTGGCAAGTATTTAGGCAGATTAATTAAATTAAATTACTTTATAGTGAACTCTCAAAGGTCGAGATATCACTATGGTTTGCATAGCGATATATCTTTTATCAAAGTTACAACTCATATATACAATTGCTTGATTATTTATTGTCTGATTGTATGATTGTACGAAAGTGTTATTGAAAATACAGGTATTATTTTGAGGACATAGATTCAACTTATGATAATCAAATAATTTTTTGGGTATCAAAGACATGGAGCTTATATGATAAGAATTTGAAATTATATATACAGTATATATAAAATATTTGATTTACTGATAATTAAAAAATAAAAGATATTTAAATGATGTTAACTGAGTATAAAAAATTTTTTTTTAAATACTGCATTAACTAAAAAAACTTGCAACTTTTTAAACACTGTGCTCAACTAAAAAAAACTTAAATTTATAAATATTGTACTCAATTGTTCTGTTTATAATTATTAACATTAATCAAAAAAATACTTTAAATACTACACTAACTAAACAACTAATAACAAAAAAATCTATACATAAGCTCATCTTAAATTCAAACATTTTATTGCTCAATATAATTTTTTTTTGATTTATACAAAAAAATAATAATTTTTTTTTTAAAGAAAATGTTATTTTTTACACTATAACATACTACTAAATTGTTATTTAATTTACTCCTATTTTAGCATTTTAATATACTATTAATTGGTTTTTATAATATATAGTTAAATATATAGACAAATTAAGCTAATCTATTTTACAATAAATATAAAATTTTATTTATCTTTTTAAAATCACATTATATATATTATTTTATATTATGTGATTATATAGGGGAATTCTACTTAATCACCTCTTTATATAACCACCAAAAAGTGTTAGGTAAATAGGGTAATTATATTGGAGAACAACTGTAATACAAAGATACCCAGATCTATATTAGAATGCTAATTATATTATATGCAAAAAAGAGGTTAAGAGTGACCAAAATTACTTTGCAAGCTATAAACAACAAGAAAACAATTGAAAAAATGCTGAAAAACTAACAACAAATATAGTATGAACAATCTTATCAAAAGAAATTTAAAAAAAAAT